TTATCTTGTTGGAACATAGCGTTTGGCAGGCCTCGAAGATAGGGCACAATCACTGGACGTAAAATGTCAGAAATGTACCCATATTCGTTCAAATTACGGGCGATCCGAAATAGAGATGTGCGTGTCGTGTACCCAATGGCTACCCAAACCACCACACCAGGTGCAGAGTCCCTATGCCGATATCAAATGCAAGTAGGCGACGTGCGGTCTACTCGGACACTCCAGACACGTATACGGCCATCAGAACCGGCCGGTAGAACCGAGACTCGTTTAAAAAGGCGTCATTGTGCCACTCCTGTATCCAGCTTTGTCATCTGGCGCACCAGGATCGCCGTCTCGCTTTATGCTGCATTGTCAAGGGAAGCCGAAGTAATGGTCACCCTGGTGATAGTCCATGCTGCTGCAAACGTCGACGCACCTTATGAGCTGATACGGAGCTTGCTGAAAACATGCCCATTTCCTGACTAATGGTCCGTGATGTGGTCGTACGGTTTTGCAGGGCTGGCTGACCTCACAATATGTCTGCCATCTCTGGCGTTAGTAATGGGAGGGCGTTGAGATCCTGCATGCCGTTCCGTATTACTCTCAGCAATCCATTGATTCTTTATTCGCATGACAGTGGTTGGATGTCATGCGAATCAGTGCGACCGGCGATATCACGGAACGATAATCTGCACTTTCGATAGGCAACGATCCTGCCTCTATCGAATTTTGAAACTTGCTGGTAAGCATTTCCTCTTCTTAATCGAGGCATAACACGATATTCTGAGCAAACTCCAACCTTACAAAGCACTTTCTGATTGAGAAATCCACTACACAATTTTTCTTTTATGCAGTGCGTCAGGTGACGTTTTTCCCGCATGCGCCGTCTAAATGCGCTGAAATACTAATCATTTGCATATCTCAACTTCTTCCTTTCATGTGATTTTGACATTCGTCAGATCATTCCTATGCCTTTACATATCAGCGTAGAGCAAGAAGCAGCGCAGCAATTAGTGATCCAGCTGCACAAAATAGCAACATTCGGTGATGTCATCTATTCACCAGAAGACCCAGAGCGGGATTATGATCTATTGGATACCCACCCAGAAATGCAATGTATAGGAGTTAATGTGAACTTGGAAAACAACGAACCAAAGACGAACAGGTCCATTGAAATGTATACAGACGGATCGAAATTAGATGAGAACGTTGGCTGCGCGTATGCTGTTATACAGCAGCACAACATACAGCACACGTGGAAAGGTCATTTACATGCAAATAATAGCGTTTTTCAAGGCGATGTCACAGCGATCGCACAGGCCCTGCTCTACGTAACTAGGAAGGAAATATGCAATGCCTTTATCATCACAGACTGCCTCTCATTCCTACATGCTATCCTAAATCCAGCACATAAGTCTCCAGCGATTGCCTCCATACAATCGACACTACGAGAACACCAGCACCTGCAGATAAAATTAGAATGGACTAAAGCTCACGTTGGAAACTTCGGGAATGAGCTGGCTGACAAATTGGCGAAAGAAGCAGCTAAAAATGTAAATGAAGCGCAAATAACAATCCCATGGCCGAAGTCATATGTTAAGAGAAGTCTCATGCTTGCCGCAACGTCCCTGTGGCAAGAAGAATGGGACAACGGCGCCACGGTACGTAGAGCACACTACCACATGTCATACGTGAACCGAGATCGTCTCGTAACGCACCCGCAACTGGTAAGATACATATCCGGACACGGTCCTTTTCCGGCCTATTATGCCAGGCATAACATCACGAACACCGCACAGTGTTGCTGCGGAGAACGCGGCACCCCAGAGCACTATGTGGTGGAGTGCCCATTAACAGAGGGACTACACATACCAATCCCAACGGTAAACAGGCAGACCTTCTGCAAATACCTTATAAAGCAGAGGCACCTCACTAAAAAATAGTCAAAATAATGAATAAGCTCAAGAACATAGGAACCTATGCGCAGCGGACTAGTCCGTGTAAGCCATATCAGTAAATAACACAAAAAATGCTAAGCACATGTCAATGTGTAATGTATAATAAGCAGTAATAAATGTGTGTACCCAGGCAATCAGATTGATACGCAATAATTAATGCAGTGAAGCAGTATATTAGACATAATGTACATAAGCAGGCGTAAATATAAGTGTGTATTGCAATAATAGTGTTCTAAACGTAATAATGTTTAAATGTAAAGCAAACAAGTAGATGTAAAAGCAAGAACGTTTTTAAAAATTAATGGTAGTGTTTTTAAATGTTGTAATGTAATGATATTTGTGTAGTGTAATGTATATAAGCAGTTGTAAATGTCAGTGTGTACTTATGCAAACAGATTGACACGCAATTACGTCTAATACACTAATAAAGATTGACACGCAATTACGTCTAATACACTGCTTCTGCTTTATTCTTGTTAATAAGACTTGGTTTTTTATTTGCGGTTCATATCTTGAAACATATCTACAGAAGCATTAAGAAAACATTTAGGAAGCGAGTTAGCTTTGGAGAGAATTTCTAGGAGAATAAAACTTAAATTTATGCTGCCAAAATCTTCAGATTGTAAGGGAAGAATGAATAGAAATGGAATGAATATTGCATCATCGTAAATTATTTCTCTCAGACAGCTAATGCTTTCTGATTCTTTTTGGCCATTACTTAAAGCTATTTCAGGATATTTTCGAGAAAGAATTTCTAAAAAATATTCCTCAAAACGTTTTCCTCATATTCGGTTATAAATGTTTTATTTTAAACCAATGGCAATAAATAAATTTGGAATGCAGAATTTTAAGGCAGTAAATAAGTTGGAAATCTTAAAGTTGTTGGAGAACTCCAGATTCATAGTTTTATAATGGAATTATATTTTATTACAAATGCAAATTTTATGCGATTTTAATGCATATAAAGATTATTTACCCGAGTATTATAATTTTAGTCAATACACACGTTAGTCTTTTCTAAATTCATAAAATTTACATTTATCGCAGTATCTTGTATAAAATAAGTTTTAACATATTTAATAATTTATTAATTTCCAGCGAAAAAAAGTTTCTCCTATTAAATCAAAGTCTACTAGCTATATGCATTGAAATCTTAGAATTTCTGTTTATCATTGACTCTTTGATATTGTATTTTGGTTTCCATATCATGTACAAAGTTTTGTAGGTTTAGAGAAAACTTAGAACCCCGTCCTTCTAATGCATAATTCAATGTTTTTAAACGACATTATATGAGCACTTGAGAAACTAATAAGATAATTAAATACCTTTCTTTTCATAAAACTATCTTTCTAAAATGTGGCGCAACTTGTTTAAGTAAAAATTACGAAAAATGGTAACATTCATATCACTGGGTAACGTGACATACTTGATTCAAAAATCGCGTGCGTAACTTTGAATCCTTTGTCTAACTCAGACATATTAAGCATGTTGTTTCTCGCAGTTTTCGCTGAGATCGAAAATGTTCATGGCTGCTAACCAAAAGTAGAAGGAGCTAAGTTGAAATAACTTACGAATAGCTTCCGTCACATAAACAAAATGTATTTTACGAATTAATATTTTTATATAAGAATAGAAATATAACATTCTCAAAGGAAACTTAGAAGTCTACTTCGCGCTACTTCAATAGCATTTTGAAGTTTTGTTAATGACAATTTTAAATCAATAAAATATTAGTTTATTGTGAATTTGAATTTCTTTATGTCGAGATATTTGTGAAACTCGGGATCAGAAATTATTTTGTTCTAAAGATTCTTATTTTATTATTAATAGCACGGAGCAGAGTCATTTTCCTTTTTGAGAAAATACTAGATGAGATAGAGAACTTTTTGTTTCAAACAGTTTTAATGATTTTATTTGTAGTTATTACATCGAAAGTAACGTGTGTCGTTTCTTGAGCCTTCAAAGGTAAATTTCCTTTTTGCTTTGTTATTCATTGTAATCTTCTACTCAAACAATTTGAACTAGATATCATAAATGGTGCAGCTTCCTTGCCCTTTCCACTCACTAGATTTAGTTTGAAATTTTGTATGTGATGTTGTAGGGATATAATATTTTACTAAATATAACTGCAGGCAACGGGGTGGAAGCAGAATAAAAATTTACATTTAGTAACTTTTGCAAAACTAATACTTTTCAATTTAAAAATGCCATATCAAGAACGTTTTTATTATTTAAAGAATTTTTCTAATTAGAAGTATCTGTTTGGAACCAGCGTATGCGAATATAAACGTCTCATGAAGAATATTTTGGCCTCGGTGTATATTTTGTTTTACAGACAGTATTGAGCACCGATCGTATTGCATTTGTGCTCACATTTCCTCTGTACAGCCGTCGACAGGTAATTTTGCTTTTGTTTTTCTCAAATTTAGGCTAAATAGCCATGTAGGTACTTAGTGTGATCTAAGTATTATGCAAAAATAGAACATCTATGTACTCTTGTAGCGAAAATTATTCAAACAACCAGTGGCTGGAAAATCCATTTTCTTAAGCATAATTTCAGCAACTCTGAGGCAATTGATTTTCAGCTACTTTATTTACCATTACTTTGTCAACGGATTTTATTCAAAAGTGGTCAATACAACCTACATAAAAGGGAAAGATTCATCTAAAACATCTGTATTCTGTAGACTGAACGCTTAAAATTTATTATTCTTTATTTAATCTATAACTAAGCACATATACAAAAGATTAAATTTTCATACTAACCCAATAAAATTAAGTAGTTAATATTTGATGAAATCAACGGGAATCGTTGTTAGATTTAAAAATTTAGGAAATATATCGATAAATGCAAATTGGTGATAGAATTAATTATTGAACAAATTGCATTAGTTTGCAAATAAAATATCATAAATTTTAATATTACAATCTCTGAATTTATTATATGTATCGTTTTCTTGACTATATTAGTTATTCTAAATACGTAATTTTATAGTACTACAGAAGTCAGTCGTGCCTATGAATTGTTATGAATGCTTATATAACTGTTCACTTTTTCAGAGAATTATACGTTACCTGCTCCCTTCGTGAGCCCTCCCTCGACGTGGGGGAGGGTGGCAAAGCACGTGTTGGCTGTCCTGCTTATGCGGCTAATCGAGTCCGACCAACAGCGTCTCGGAGAATAGACCTGAAAACGAGAGCTAACTGGTGTCAGTGTCGTCACTATCAGGAGACCGACGCGAAGAATGTGAAGCAGCCGAAAAGTGTCTCTACTAACCTCAAACCCCCTAATACTCCATCGATGAAGCTATAAGTTTACGCGCTTTTTTGCTACACTCTGCGCTTAAAAATTCGCATTGTCTATTGCGTTTAGAGCCTATTTTAAAATAAAATTTTCTAAACTTTGTAGAAAATTTTAAAGAACTAAAATAATAATGTGTATGAATTATTTTTTCCCGACAAATAGCCGTACACTTGCTTCTCAGGCATTGTATGATGATTTAAAATGTAAAAACAAATGCTGAACAATAATAAACTAATTTTATTTCAAATACTTTTATTGTTAGCATTGATAGGTTCTCTCTACCTCCGTATATAAGAAATTATCAATAATATCTTTACATATATTTGCAATAATATCTTTAAAGTTATATCATCTGAGTTGTAAGTGTATAAAATAATGTAGATACTTTTATACTATTTACTATAATGGGCATATTCAAGGACAATATGTGCCAGAAAGGACATTATTCAACATTATTAATTTTTGATAAATTGATTAAAATACATTATCAGAATAGATATGAATATGCTTTATTTCTTTTCACAAATTCCTTGAACAATGTTTTCATGAATTTTCATTTTACTTTGTATAGTTTTGTTAATTTCTTATACAGTTGCAAAGTTTTCTTTATATTTCTTTTCCTTGTGTGCAAGAAATGATTATCAATTATCATATGGTAAACCGCTTAAAACGACTAATCATAATGAATATAAATGCGATACATCGTGTGCAAGGAATTATATCTTAGTTGATGAAATCTGCATAAACGGTGTTGTTGATTTTTCCCCTAAATCCTATGTGATATATCTGACTTCGAATCTAAAATTTCTGAGGAACACAAAAACCTTGTCTAAAACTTAAAAGTTTATTTAACTGGAACTTCAAAAATGATGAAACTTAACATCATAAACGAAAACTTAACATCTTGGGTGGAAAACTTCAAAGTGCTTTAAAGTAACAGCTATGCCGGCACGGTGAAGAACACTTTCCTTTTAAAAGACAGAATCCATCTAGCCCTTTCGGCGTATATCTCCATTCGCTGAATTCAGACATCCGCTCCTACGTGTTTTGGACTTAAACGGCCAGGCTGGAACTGGAATAGGACTGGATCAGGACCGGAACAGGACTGGAACAAGACGGGAACAAGACGGAACCGGAACAGGACGGGAAACCGGAATCTCTCATCCCCTGGCTTCCGCCCCGGGCAGGTCTATTCTGGCTCGAACTAAAATGGAACTGCGGTGCCACTAAGGAAAGCACCTCCTTTTATTGCCGGCGGTTGCCGTTACTACAGGCGACTTATGCAAATATTTAACATCCTTCCACCTAAGGAAAAAAAAAAAAAAAAGTGAACTTTCACATCAAAGTAAAACAATGCCAAAGAGCCTTAATATGCCAGTCTGTCCGGCGGAGTTACAGTTCTACCAGATCGTGTTACAGGCCTGACAGATTTATCATCTATGTTGAGTTTAAGTTCAGACAAAGAATCTTGTTTTTCATTCTGCAGCTTCACGGGTACATCATTTTGCGCTACCTCTAAAGGATACAGAGTTCGAACTGCTCTAAGCAAAATTCCATTTCGGGTCTTTACTCTTGCAAGCCGATTTATTCCATCAGGTCCTGGAAGTAGTTCTATGACACGACCAAGTTGCCAAAAAAGTCTTTTGTCACTACTACCGATCAAAACAATATCATCTAATTTAATAGTAACTTTCCTTTCAGCTCTTTTATGCGAAACCTTGAGAATTCCCAAATATTCTTTACGAAATCTATTTTTAAATGCTTCTCGTACAGTTTGAATATACTGAAATCTTCTTTGTAAATTACTTGATTTAATACCGTATTTTATATCCCGCAAACTACTAGTTCTAATTTCTTTTAAAAAGTCGGCAGGAGTTAAAGCTTTAAATTCAGGATCGGAAGGAATTACTGTCAACGGTCGGTCATTAAGAATCGCTTCACAGTCACACAGTATCGTGTACATTTCTTCATAATTTAAACAAGCATGTTTAAGAACTTTTTTAAGGACTTGCTTCATCATTCCGATCAGACGTTCCCACCAACCACCCCACCATGGAGCACCAGGGGGAATAAATTTCCATGTTATTCGCTCATTGGCTGCCTGCCGATTAATTTGTTCAAAATCTATTAATTTGAAATGCATTTGAAGCTCCTACAAAATTAGTTCCATTATCACTGTACACAGTTGTGGGTTTACCTCTTCGTGACACGAACCGATGAAAAGCCTGAAGAAACACTTCTGTAGATAGAGAAGTCAGCAACTCCAAATGGACCGCTCTATAAACGGCGCATGTAAAAACACAAATCCATGCCTTTTCTTTGTTTCTCAACAATAAAGGACCACAAAGGTCTATACCCGTTACTTGAAATACTGCTGAATCATTTACTCGCTCTATTGGCGGTGGGGCTGATATGTGGTCAACAGGTACAGCAGAATATCTCTTGCAAGTAATGCATTTACTCAAAACAGAACGCACCGTTCTTCTGCCAGATAACAACCAAAACCTTTCCCTTAAGGTATTCAGTATATATTGTACACCTGCATGTCCTTTCTTTTTATGTTCTTCCATAATTAAATTCCTAACTAATGGATGTTCTCCTGGTAATATTATAGGTGTTCTAAACTCTAACGTGTCATCTCTTCGAAACGCACCAGTTTTAATTCTTAGAATTCCCGCATCATAAAATGGACTAAGAGTTCGTAAGCGTGCGTCTTCTATATCCTGAAACGATTCCGATTGAATCAAGCGAATAACAACCTTTTCTGCAAAATCAATTTCATCAACAGTGAGTTCCCTTTTCCTTTTTTTCTTATTTCTGCAATTAAAGAAAAATCGTTGAATCCAACCAACAACTCTAACTGTTTTTCGATAGCTAGAAAATCGCTCACTCAAACTAAACCTTTCAGTAGACACTAGAGATGAAACCACTGCCTTTTTTTTCTCGCTGGCTATTTCCGCTTCATCAGTTATAAATTCGGCACTCGGCCAATTTTCTTGGGATTTTAAAAGCCAGCTCGGACCCTCCCACCATTTTGACCGGGAGAGTTGGCGAACTGAACACCCTCTACTTGGAAGATCTGCAGGGTTAAGGTGACCAGGTATATGCCTCCAATCCTCCACACGTGTCAAAAGCCTTATTTCCTGTACTCTATTTTCTACAAATGTCCCCCATTGTTCTTCCCTTTTTATCCATGCAAGGACAGTAGTTGAATCTGTCCAGAAAAATATACTTCTGGCCTCAAAGTCTTTTAGAACGTCTGCAGCAAGACGAGATGCAATAGTTGCTGCTAACAATTCTAATCTTACAATAGTCGTTTCCTTTTTACCACAAGGGGAAACTCTAGACCTAGCCTGAAGCAACTGGACTTTAACTGATTCAGGTTCTTCTACACGAATAAAAACTACTGCCGCATACGCTGCTTGACTGGCGTCACAAAAAACATGGATTGAACACTGTTTTGGCTGATATCGTATCCACCTTGGAATTTTAATGTTTTTCAAAAGAAAATGTCTTTTACCCATTTCAAAAATTTACTTTTAATTTCAGTGTTAACTTCTTCGTCCCATTTTACTTTTGTTTCCCATGTACGCTGTAATAACATCTTAGGTAATATAAGGACTGGACATGTTATACCGATGGGATCAAATACTTTATGGGCTATTGCCAAAATACTTCTTTTCGTGAACTTTCTCGAAACAAAGATTTTGTAAATTAGCAACATTTATTTGAAGAGTATCGCCTTGTCTTTCCCATAACAAACCTAATACATTCGCAATAGTTTCTGTTTCTAAACTACAGTCGGTATATTCCCAACCCCGTAATTCAAATTTTCGTTCTGCCATAACATCTGAAGATACTTTCATGAAGCGCTGTAATTCATCTTCACTTCCGACACACTTGTTACACAGTTATCAACATAGAAACTATTCATTAATTTAACAATAATGTTGGAAGGATATTTTACATCTGCATCATTTTTCTCTCAAAATTGAATTTAAGTGATATTGAATAACAGCTCCAAGTAAAAATGGACTACTGGTTACACCAAATACGACTCGACAATGACGAAAATGCTTCAAGCCATCTTCACCCTTTATCCAAAGAAATCGGAGGAAGTTTCTGTCACTAGAATTCAGGCCAATTTGTAGAAAGGCCTTACGAATATCAGAAATCACCCCTATTTTTTCTTGGCGAAATCTATTTAAGATTGTAGGAATAAATGAAATAAGGTTTAATCCCTTTTCAAGACAATCGTTGAGACTCGGAGAACCCTTTGCTTTAGACGAAGCGTCAAATACTGGCCGTAACTTCGTAGTACTATGTTCCTTAACAACATGTCTATGTGGCAAATAATGATGGGGTAAATCTAATTCATTTACGGGTACTTCCTCTATTATGCCCTCTTTGAGCCATTCTTGGAATATATTTTCATACTCTTGGCGAAGATTATCTATTTCAAGTTGCCTAATCGTACCGTGCAACCTTTTAAGCGATAACTCAAAATTATCCGACAGGGGAGGGTGCCCTTCCAACCAAGGCAAAGACACTACAAAGCGGTCATCTTCTATTTTTACAGTATCAAGAAAATGTTGCCTGGTAGCCTCATACAATTCCAATTTACTCTTTTGTTCGGATGGGTCCGTAATACCAAGCGAGTCGAGGGCCCATAAATCAGAAATACAAGCCTCTTTATTCAACATTGAAGTAACTAAGAATGTTGAACCTTCACTATTCAACTCCCCGGTTTTTCCCATAACCGTCCATCCTAACTTTGTCTCAATAGCTACAAGACCGTTTGAAATTTGTTTACGATTCCCCGTTAATAATCGTCCTGCCTGCAACATCGGCTCCTATTAAAATTTCTATAGGGTCCTTCTAAACGATCTGTTAAACTTATTCCACAGTCAGCAAGCTCTTTAAGCCATATTCCTTGTCCAATAGAAGGTATACTATTACAAATAACAGGCTGACTTAACGCATCAAAATTACAACTGTACGAGCCAGACGTATTAGATAAATGAATTTTGTAAACTTTATGTTCACACAAAAACTGGTCGTTGTACCGCCAAATAATGCGTGGCTAAGGTATTCCTTTACCGTATACCTATAACCCATATCTTGAGCTGCGCTTTGCAGAATATATGACCTTTGAGAACCAGTATCAATTATAGCTCGAGCCGAACGAGATTTTTTATCTCCTTTAATTATTACTCTTATTGTTTGCAGCAAAACTTTAGGAGACCTTGAAGAAATGTTGGCGAGTGTTTCAGCCTGATTTGGAGGCTGTTCCGTTGCCCTTGTCTCACTCATTTGTGAATGGCCCTTACATAGAAAAATATGATGCCTTTTGCCGCATGTAAAACAAACTGTTTTTAATCTACACCTCCTGACAGAATGTCCAGATTTCAGACACAGATAACAAGAGCGTGTCCTTTGGACCAAAACTTCTCTTTCTGACAACGATAAGTTACGCGCCTGAAAACATTCCGC